CTCCCACAGCCCCAGCAAAAAAGGCCTGCAACTGCTTTCACCTTTCTGAATGTTGAACTTACTTCTTTGGATATCTGCTAATATTTGAAATACTGCTTAAAATCTAGCAATATAATGTTTCTTATAAATGCTCCCCGCCAAAAATCTAATAACATTGCATAAAAAAGACAAAGTAACAATTTTCTTTCTTCAAAACCACTCAGCTATGCAATCCTGAGTTTTTTCAGACCTTCAGAAGACATGATCAGTATGCATAAGAAAAGTGGTGTCTCTGACTCACTTTTGCAGGGGTGCACTGTGAAGCATTAATAGCTGTGCTGCTTTGTTAATAAACTTCCATCAATATGCTTTGGGAGATAATTTGATTTTAAAAAAAAGAATAAAAAACACCAAAGCTGAAATATTGCTTTTATACCCTGCAAGATCAATTCACCATGTGCTTCTTTAATCTACTGGAATATATACATTTAAAGAGAAAACACAGATGATTTAGCATTCTCCCATATCATGTCAGTGAGCATGACTAGTTCCTCATTTTTTTCTAATACTCACTGGTGCTCTGACTTATGGGGGGAAAACTTTCATGAAAAATGTGTGCTACTTTTCTGCTTTTGGCCTTGTAAAAGCTTCTTCTCTGCCTTAATTACAATATAAATCAACTGCAGAAAAAGATTTACAGTGATCACTCCTCACTTAGAGAGCTGTGAAGATTGATCTGAAGGGGTATGTTTGTCAAGCCCTGTGTCTGTTTCTCATCTTAGCTGGTTCTAAAGTGAATCTCAGGGCGCGGATGGTGTATTTAGAAAGAAGTCAATGTGAGAAGAAAAAATGTGCTAGTGGATCACTCTTTGTTCTCAAAGAACATGCTGAACCCTTACCCTTCCAAAACTCCTGGGCAAAAGATTTTACATACAATTGTGAACGTCAACCCATGTATTATGTTAGGAGAAAAGATGATTCACAGTTATTGAAATGACGCCTACATATTCTATGTGGGCAACTAAGTAGGCTGGCAATTGCAACAGAAATCTCCCTGTTGATTCCTTTTTTTTTTTTAATTGAGTTTATTGGTACATTTTAGATATACAGTACAGTTACATTTATGATTGGGATCTTGTTACCTTTACATGACAGGTCTTGGTTCTCTTTTTTTTCCCCCTTGTCCCTGCCCTCCCTTCTCCCTGTTGATTTTTATGGCAGCCATCAAGAATTTATCAAGGAATAGCCAGGCATAGTGGCGCAAGCCTATAACCCCAACACTCAGGAGGCTGAGGCAGGAGGATCACTGTGAGTTCAAGACCAGCCTAGGCTACATAGTGAGTTCCAGGATAGTAAAGGCCCTTACAAAAAAAAAAAAAAAAAAAAAAAAAAAAAAAAAAATTTATCAAGGACTTAACTTTTATTCAGGTCATTGTCCAAGCTTGTTAGAGAGGGATTAATCAGCCCTCATCTTCATGGACTTTGACTTTTTTCGAAGGTAGGTTCATTCATTACTCTGAAACATCAAAACATACAAACAGAATTCATAAAGTAGACACAGTGGAATGCACTTCTGCTTTTTTGCTCCCTGGGAAGTTTTGCAATGTGCTGAATTTGGGTCTGAACTCAGAAGCTTGACCTAACTTCACATCCCTCTTTAATACCTGTACTGCCCTCTCATTGCCATTCAGGCAGGCCAGTGCCATTTTGGTCTACAAAACTAAAGAAATGAAACACCATGCCTTTTATCTTTCTTGTTTGATTTCTTTGGAGAGTGCTCTTTCTTTAATTTGACTCTTTCGCTTAAAAAGTGACCTCAGTTATTTCCTTCTTGATGCAATATAAAAAAACCTCTAATAAATTACTAGGACAGCTGGTTGCTAACTTGCCAAGATAACTCCCTTAAAAATGTTCTCATTTTTCCAAAATGCTCTAGAAAAATTATGTTTTCCTGTTCAGTTGTCTCCTACATTTATTGTTTTCCTGTATAGCAAAATTGCTTGTGTTGTATAGTCAAGTGCCAAAGAAGTTTGCTGTCTGTCCACAGGATTTAGACAGAAATGTAATCATACTTTGAAAGTAAAGTATATTCTCAAATCTAGAAATTAACTAGTAATTGAAATTATCATCACAGTGTTTTAACTGATGACCATTGAACTCTCTTCTGGCAAACGGCTCATAGAACATTAATTGCACGTCACATTACAGATCTGCAGAGTTAAGTTCTGTCTTGCCCTTGGGACTGCAAGGCCTAAAGCAACTTTGCAAGTGTCTCTCAGAATTGGAAAAAAAAATCATTAAACTGCAAGAGTTCTACTTCATCTGTGAAATATGTGCTTCACTGTCCTTTTAAATGTCATTTCCTTGGCATTGGAAAAGTCCTGTGTTCAATCCCCAACAGTGAAAAGTCCTTTCTTGCCCCTCCAGTCTGCATTACTGAGTCCACACTACTAAGAAATAATGGAATAGTGACTCTTACTTTGCCCAATATCTCCCTTCCTGAGCAAACCACCCTGTAATA